GTGATGACACATTCGAAAAACTTTTATTAGCGAAAACAGGCCTACGTGGCAATTGCTGTGAACAAAATTATGAAGTTTCTTTCTTAAAGAAAGCAAAATCTGCCACTGTTTATAACATTTGTACGAAAACTAAAGTGTCTTTTTTTTTTTTTTTTTTTTCCTTAAACGATGCAAGTAATAAAGATGTTTTTTATGTGTAAGGTATTTTTTTGTTGCTTGCATTTAAGAATTAGTTACTATTTAAAGTTAATTCATTATTAAAAACTATATTTTTATCATTTAAGAAGTCTTTAACATTGTGAAAAATCTCCTGATTTTTGAGTGTCATAGGTTGGCAAGTATGTTTTTGTAATGACCTTTCCACTCATGCCTCTTTCTCTGTATGTGACAGACAGGGAATCTTTTAAATTTCATGGAAACCTACCAGTATCTATACTTTAGATAGGTATGATTTTGATGGTTTTTTTTTTTTTTTTTTTTTTCAAAACTTTGGCCACGAACCTCACTGTAATACTCACCATATAGATCACACTTTCCCATTGGTAAGTAGATCCATAAAAACTAGGTGAATTTTAGTTGTAGAATTTTCATTAAACAGTGCTTGCTTGGTGGGGCAAGCAGAAGAATTTCTGTTTTTCTACAATCATTCAGGATGACATTTTAATATAATGCCTTGATTTTCCCATTCATCAAACGCCTGTTGATAATCAGTTAGTCTTTCTACTGTTCTCGAAGATTGCTTATTGCTCTTCAGTCTTTTTTTTTCAGTTGCCAGTTTTAATGCTGTATAATTAAAATATAAAATAAAATAACATTTAAAACTTTGTACCATGTGGTAAAAACAGATTTTTCTTCTGTTGTTATTATTTGGACTTTTATTTTTGGCATTATCTGCTTCAGACAAAGTGCATCTAACTTTCAGTGTTTCCAAACCATGGCAACATCGTCAGCAGTTCTCTTTCTAAGCAAGCAGCGGTGGTGACAGTAGCCATACTTCTGTTACAATAATGTTATTATTTTCCTTCTTATTTTAACATGTACCACGACATTAAATCTGCACAAAGCTCTGGGCTGAGTGAGTATATGAAATGAGACAAAAAGAATGCAATATAAAGCTAACTTAGTAAAACCTAATATCACTAATCTTTAAAAGATATGAGACCGTTTTAAGTGTAAAATATAACTTCCTACAAAATTTTTAACTTAATGCTAATTACTTGATATATTATGAATTTGTTATTTTGAAATATTATTATTGTAAATATTAAATTATATTTTAATCATAATGTATTCTACATACAGGCATGTTTTCATTTTTACAATGGTAAAATTTTTACAAGAGTTAAGTTTGGGAGTACATAATGTATTCATTTCCCATTTACTGATAGGTCCTTATTTTTTTCATTGATGGTCTTTGAAAGCATTTAATTTCTCTGCAGAACGTGTGTGAACAGTTTTGAAATGTACTGTTTGTTTTGTACTCTTTCAATAAACACTGTCTCCTTTATTTATAATTTTGTTGTCTTTAAGTATTACTTTAAAGTTATTGGAGCAAAAAAATACTAAAATCATAACAATTTAAAGAAAAAAGCTTCCAGAAATGAATACAGAGCCATACCTGCCAACTTTTACGAATTTTTTGTAATTTTTACGAAAATGCGTTTGTCTTTATGATTTTACGATCATAATTCATTTTTTACGATTTTTTTCCTTTTTCAAGTGTTTTTAGTGATTTTTGTCGAAATTTTAGAATTTTTCGCCAATTCAGCGATTTTTGCCAATTGCATCGTGTTTTACCGCCAGCTACCGACTACTTCAAATCCAGTAACCTGCGGTTTCTCCCAACTTGCCGCTTAACCAGCCAATCCAATGCGCTGAACTTGTTTCTCCCACTCTTTTCTTTGTGGGTGCCAGATTATTTTTTTTGCGTTCGCTTCAGCAGCAAGGGAATTACTCAGCGAGTGTGGATTGTCGCATTCAGTTTTTCTTTTTGTTTGCACGTGCTACGAATTTTCTTAATACGTCGTTGTTATGAAATGAGTTTTGGCCTGCCTATAAAGCCGAATTTCCAACAATTAAAGAATCCTTCAAAGGAAATAACTATGCATTTTGCAACGTGTGCGTGTGTGACTTCATAATAAGTAACGGTGGAAGAAGCAACATTGTGAAGCATGTTAAGTCTAAAAAGCATGAAGTTAATTCTTCGGCTTCGACAACGTCAAAGAAAGTGGATGATTTTTTTTCAAATTCAGCCACGAATTCGGATGCCGATGTCATTTTGGCAAAGTGTTTGTTTACTGCATTTCGTCATTGAACACAATGTGCCGCTAAGCGCTGCCGATCACGCCGGTCAACTTTTCAGACGGATGTTTCCCGACTCCAAGATTGCTCAGAAATATGCTTGTGCTCGCACGAAAACATCTTCTATTGTGAACGAAATTGTTTGCGATGCACAAAGTAAAACGATAGCTGCACTCCAGAATTCAGCATTTTCGGTGTCAATCGATGGCAGCAACGACAGCGATTGGAAGCTTTACCCCATCTTTGTCACATATTTCTGTGATGTTTCTAATGAAATGAAAACTCATCTTATGCGTCTTCTATTGTTAAATGGAGACGCCACAGGAAAAAATATTGCCTCCTTGGTAATTAATGAGTTGAAACAACTTAACATCCCAATATCAAACTGCATTTCATTTGGTGCAGATAATGCTCATGTCATGGTGGGTGACAAAAAGGGTGTAGCCTCTTTCCTCAAAAAAGAACAAAATGAATTAATTGTTATTGGATGCCCATGCCACTTAATTAATTTGGCAGCAGAAAAAGCTGCAGCTGCTTTACCGTTAAATATTGACCAGCTTCTGATTGATGTTTTTCTATCTGGAAAAAAGTGTAAAAAGAAAACCTAAAGAATTTCCAAGAACTGTGCTCTGGTGAAACGAGAAAAATTCTGAAACATGTATGCACGAGATGGTTATCCTTAGGCAGAGCGCTAGGAAGGTTTATTGCACAGTGGGATGCATTGCTAAAATATTTCCACGAAGAGAACAAAACGAAACCACAGATCCCATCAAATTTCTCGGCATATAAGATTCCGAAAACCAACTTTGCTTCTAATCAAAATGCTTTAAAGGGGAAAAACCAACACTCAGAATCAAACCCTTTAAAAAGCAAATGCTTAGAAGACTCCTCAAAGGTCAACTTTGTTAAAGAAGTTGAAGGGAAGAAGAAACGGTCTTCTATTAGCCGGGAGGAAAGGATTTTTCTGTCTTCTTTCTTCGGATTTGAACAAGCATATTGTAGTTTTGTTTAAGTACCATTAAGATTTTTGAAAGTGTAAATACCCTTCTACAATCAGCTTCGCGAAAATCTCCCCTGCTTATCCAAATTCTTAATGATCTTTTGAAAGAACTTTATACTAAGTTTGTAAAACCGTCTGTTGTGATAGACTAGCAAGAGTTTTATGTGCTATTCTCGTAATTCCACACAGTAATGCTGAGTGCGAGAGAGTCTTCAGTGTTGTGAAGAAAAACAAAACTGTTTCGTTCTTCAATTTCACCAAAAACTCTAGAAAACATTTTAATTGCTAAATGTTATGAGGAAACTAATTGTTATGACAGGAAATTTTCCAAAGAATTTTTGGCTAAAGCCAAAAAATGCACTCTAAATTCATTGCAATAATTTTTTTGTGTGACATTAAGTTCTTGTTTTATGTTTCCTAATAAATTTTTTAGTTACTACTTAATTGAAGTTTACTAATGTAAGTACAATTTTCTTTTTTCTATTTGTATAAATTGTTATTTTTTTTAATATCAGAGCATGATATTAATTCTTCGTGTTCTTCTGAATTTTTATCTTTAGAGGTTGCAGATATGCAGAGGAATTTTCTGAAGCTGTAGAAATAATTAGCACACACAGATTAACAGTATAAATCTGTGTGTTTGTTAAACACTGGTGACTTACATGGCTTCAAATAATACTCTTACTAATGTCCAGCTGCGTGCCCATTTGGTGATATGCCACATGAATTCTTACCGGTTAGGCCCAGAATGTTCTCGAATGCGTTCCAAAAGCTATATAAACCCTGCTGCTATGCAGAGCAGAGAGTGTCTTGTAGTTTTTTGAGTTGATTGTCAGTCTCATGTTGTTCGTCAGCTGTATCGAGAGTGTGCCTCGTTGGGGTTTTCGTGTGTATTGTTGCATGCATTGCGAGTTGTAGCGAGGAGAGGTTTGAGATTACGTTGAGTTCCGAAAACAACTGAACCGAGTCGGGAGCTGAACTCTAGTGCTGTGTGTGTAGTAATCTTTTTTACCCTTAATTTCAGCAATTACAATTCTAAAACTCTTATTACTTCATTAAGTATACATCTCATACAATTTGCTTTACAATATCTTTTTAACAAATTGCTTTCCTGTACGAACAATTCTTGCTTAAGTAGTTTTATAAACTTATTTGTCAATACGATTTCAATTTATGTTTACAATTCAATCTTAAGGTTATTATGTTTTTAGATAATATTTATAATCATTATAAATTTAAATACATTTAATAATTAGATTTCTTCACTGTAACTTTCACAGGAGTTTATGAATGAATAAATCCTTCATTTCAAATACATTTATAAATAATTTAATAAATATTTACTTATTTTGTTAAAGGCGGATACACGCTTTTTGCAAGCATATTCGTAAATACCATACATATTTCATATTTTTCATTTTCGGCTTGTACAAATCTTTAAATTTCTGTGCATTCACTATATTTTTTAAGTAAATGAATTTACAATAATTTAGCATATACCCAAAATTTAATTAAAAAAATTCTTTAAAACATTTTGACATTTGGAACATGAAATAAAAAAGTATCGAATACAACAGAAGGTAAAAAATTAAATTTTTTATCTTCTATTGTATGCATTTTCTATTTATCTTGCATTGTATTTTTATTTATGTATATTTATTGATATGTATTCTGAATGGCTTCTTTATCCCCTTTACAGCCTGCAGCTCAGCCTACACCTATGGCTGCAGCTGGTGGACGACGAACTCACAGAGGTGTTCCTAGAAGTGATACAGCTGAACGAGTTGAAGCAATTTCAGAAGCTATGTCAGGCATGTCTGTGAGTGGCGAGTTTGCTGGGCGTGGTCGAGGAAGAGAAGAATTTTCAAATGATAATACTAGACCTCCTCATGTGCAAGATAAAAGAGGTTGCTCTTGATTGAATTTTTTTAGAATTTGAGTGCTGACTATCCAGGCATGCATGTTTTAGAATTTAGGACACTTTTTAACCTGATTTTTTGAAAGAAATCTTTTTGAGTTACTTGAAAAACAGATCTCTTCTAGTTACTCAAAAAAAGAAATCTCTTTGAGTTGTAGAAAGTTAATTGTGTACATTTATAATCCAAATGATTTTTTATCTGTTTTTATAATAATATCAATTCATTCATTTTATAATTTATGTAAGTAAGAATAATTAAAAATTATCTCATTCACAAGCCAATTCCAGCATAAAACAAAATCTGCAAATATTTAGTCTTATATAAATATAATTTTAATTCAAGAAATATTTTTATCACAATGCAAACTATTTACTCATAAATACTGGACTTTTGACATAATTTAATCGTGGTAGTGATTATTGCGAATATTTTTAAAAATTACAACCTTTTTTTTCTTCCCATTTTTAGTTTATTGTAATTTATTGTATTTTGTATTAAATGATTTAATTTTTTATTAGATATTTTATTTTTTGTTTTGTTCTCAATTGTATTCTTAGAAATTTCCTAAATAGTGAATAATTATCTTTCTTATTAATTTTCTAGGAAAGCATCTCTTCTAAGGTAAATAGTCTCGACATTTACCAAGAGGGATGCTGCCATAGAAAACACTTTTGGAGAGATTAACTCAATGTGTTTACTATGAGGAAAACTTAAAAAATTCCATTGGAAAAGTGCTAATTTGAGATATTTTATTAAATTATTTGAACAAGGTTCATACGGTCCTTAAAAGTCCTTAAATTTCTTTCTTTTTTTTTTTTTTTTTTTTTTTTTTTTTTTCTTTTTGGACCAATTTTTGGCCCTTAATTGAGAAGTCCTTAATTTCGACCAAAATCGGTAGCAGGTCTGGTCCATCTGAAATTTCTGTCTTTTTATAACTGCCATTTTGAGTATGAATTAGCATTTTGGAGGAATATTTATGGTGATTCACTGACAAATATGATTATTTTTGAATGGGTTTTAATTTGTAACTATTTCTAATATATAAACAGTGGGATACTTGAGTTTCTGGGCTAGAAGTGAAACACAAGCATTTCGAAATGACTTCTAATTTTTTCTAATGAAGAACTCTTAAACAACTTTTCGCTTTTGAGGATGTGAATTGTTTTATTAAACAGTTTTAAATTTGGCTTCTTGCCAACATTATGGAGATTTTAAGTTTTTTATAGAAAATTTTTAATATGGAGATCTACGAATTTTGCTGAGATTTTTTAAGACATTTGATAAATTTCATTAAAATAATGGTAATATATTGAAATTATAAATTAGAAATAACATTAAAATAAAGCATGTTTACTTTTTGCTGTCATATTATAAAGTGACATTACTTTTCATTTTTGCAACTTATGCAATATTTTGAATCTGAAAAATAAACATGGTACAGGGTTCGTAGCGGTCCTTACAAGTGTTTATAAGTCCTTATATTTGAAAATAAATTATAAAAGCCCTTATAGGTGCTTACTTTTTCTCTAAAGCACTTATTTTTTGTTTTGTTTTTAGTGCTTTTTTTCCCTGCATCAAAGCCACAAATAAATAAACTTTTTCTTTCTTATCTGTAGTGTAAGATGTGAATCATACTTCCAGAACTAGCTTTCTCTGTATTAACATAACCTTTGATTCCGCGAGTAGAGTAGAGACAGGTGCACGTCGTTCTATTGGTCAGAGTTGTGAAAGGGGTAGAAAATTCCGGCATATTCCGCATACTTTTCCTCCCACCCACAGACTATAGACATTTCAAATCCCACGTGGTCAGTTCATACTTGCGTTTATTACGATCGATTTATGCTTATACTATAAGCAATATGTATGAATATTTATAATATATTTGCAGTAAAGGCTGAAGTTACAAAAGACTTAAATCTTTCAAATAAATCTAATGAAATGTTAAAAACTGTTTTTGAAAAACAAACTCTCTTAAGAGATTTGGATTCAGACTTTAATGAAAAGAAAAATCAAAAATAGAAGTAATATTACTAATTAATAAGCATAAATCATTAAATTAAAATTTAATCTTTTTCTTGTTCCTTTTTTTATGTTGTAAAGTACTTTGTATGAATATAAAAATACAGTTTTATTATTTATTTTCCATAAACTGATATTTCATTGTTAAATCTTGTAATATAGTTTAGTTTTGCATAGGGTTCTTTCTCCCCCTCTCATTGTAAACTAGTTCTATAAATTGAACTGTTATTTGCAATTAAAAAATAATTGTAATTGTTTCCCATGGTTGAGTAATGCTGATTCTCTTTTTAAACACTGAATTTCTCGGATTTTGAATTACGGTTAAATCTTATTTTTATTTTAAGGTTATGCAGTTTTGTATATGTAATTAAACAGGTGCTTATTTTTCTTTCTTAAAATGTGCTTGAAAAGTGCTTATTTTTTTTTAACTAAAATGTGCTGCTGAACCCTGTGGTAATAAATAAATGAACCCTGTGGTAATAAATAAGGTACCCTGTGGTATAAAGCACAATTTACAAAACAATTCTTAGCAAAACCAAATTAATTAAAAATGTGTCCTTTTTAATTTTTCATGGTAAGGGTTTAAATTAATTAAAATGTGTCCTTTTTAATTTTTCACGGTAAGGGTTTTTCTCATGAATATTCAGAATTCTCAGAATATGCATCAGTTTTGTCTATGAAATTGATTTATGAAATAATTAAAAATTTGGAACGTTTAGAAAGATTTTAAGTCAAGTTTTATAGACTGACGATTTTAAGATTCCAAAAAAGTATGACAAAATAAAAAATATCCTCATAATATTAACACACAATGGATGTAATTTATAGAAAGTTTGTGATGAATTTCGTACTTTTAGGAGAATTTTTGGAAGAACAATGAAAACATAATATTTACATGTTTTACTTCTGATACTAGAAGTCTTTTTCTTAACATGCTAATATCCTCCCTTTATTTTTTATACTTTTCACTAGTCACAACCATGGAAAATATCAAAAATGCTTCTAATCGGTGTCCGCCGAAAAGTCACATAGAAAACAGTGCAACATGAAAACATCTTGGGAAAAAATATTGCAGTTCTAAAACATCGGGGTACAAAACATTGTCATTGAAAATAAAGTGATTCGAAAACCTCACAGTTTAAAAACGTTTTCAAAAATATCGTGGTAGAAAATAAAGTACCTACAAATCATCGCATGATGATAAAGCCACAGTCATGCATTTTTCAGGTTTTAATAACTGTAAAAGGAAACTCGCATAATAATAATTTGTGAACACAAGATGGAAAGAAGGGTAATTTTTATTTTCATATTTTTTATTAACTAATGAATATTTGCAAAAAATGTAAAATGGAAACTTAAATATAGAAAATTAATGCAACTTATAGCACTTAATAGTTTTAAACCGACATAGTTAACTAACAAATGTCATTAATAAATTTTTTAATACAGTTGTGCTGCTAATTTTTCATGAAAAGTGTAGTCTAAAAAAGAATTGAAAAAAGATCTTCAAAACTGCATGACCTTAATCTGTAAAAAATTGCCAAGTTAATTACGAGGTTATTTTCTTCACTTTTGTTAATCTGATACTCTCATAGTGAAAATTATTTCTTGTTTTGTTTAAATTTCTTGTTCTTTTTTTTTTAATATTAGTTAATAAATAATATGAAAGTAAAAAGTATCCTTCTTTCCATCTTGCGCTCAAAAATTATGCGAGTATCTTTTAACAACTATTAAAGCCTGAAAAACGCATGTTTGTGGCGTTATCGTCATGCGATGATTTGTAGGTACTTTATTTTTTACCGCGATATTTTCGACGTCGGTGTTTTTAAACTGTTTTATTTTTAAGACGTTTTCACCTTGCGTTGCCCCCCCCCGCGATGTTTTCGGCTGTCACTTTCTAATCTTATCACTTGGACAAACATTTAAAGAAAGGAATTTTTCTATTAATAAAGAAATTAAAAACTAAGAATTTAAAAGATTCATCTTGTATGTTTCAGTGCTTCGTACAAGGGCCTGGTACTAGGCATTTTCCCACATGATGCAGTATCTGTGGATCCTAAATTCTGCTGCCTAGTGCCTTCATTAAATCTGCTCCCTGTGCCAGTCTAAAAGTTTTTCCATATATATTATTGCTCTGTGTGTCACTAAATTCTAAAAATTCTGCCACACCGTCTATGTAACTGACTCTTACCATATATCATTTCATATTTTTCTGAATGTTCATATTATGAAAGAAATACAAATTTCAGCTTTTTTGTTGTTGTTTTGGCAGCTTGTACATTCTAAATGCATTTAGTTTTACAGAATAAGTGAAATCTTTAAATCCAAAAATTCTAAATTGAAGATGAAATATATTGAAGAAACTGAATACATAAAGAGAAAGAAAATTGTTCTTTGAAGATATGTACGTTATTATTATGAAAATTAACCAGTTTATGTCTTCAGCCTGTACTCTTAATTTTCTGTTTTTTTACCAGAATGTAAATCAGTTTTTAAAATGAGGTTTTTGGATCGTAAGACGAAGTGTGTTTCTGGCATCCTCTTGCATACTGCATTAGTACCTGCAAGGTCTGATAATTTGTTGTTATTCTGCTTTGCATTATCGCTGCCGACATTTGAGTTTTTACAATGAAAGTGCTACTATGCAAGATAAGATTAAAATTCAATTTTATAGTCTTTGATTACTAGTCCACAGTTTTAGTTTGAATTTGGCTATTCCTGTTTAATTGCATCATCATGAGCTGTAATTGATTTTGTTAGCATAAGAACATGCCTTTATATTCTATGTTCTTTTTAATAAGAGGTTTATTTAAACCTTTATGTGACTCTGTAATTACTTTCAGACACGGTGATAATTTGCTTCACATCTGTCAGGGGTTTTGGACTATTTACCTTTTACCAGATCAAGTAAAATCTCATTGGTAACAATGCCGAGAGATTGACAGGCTAGGAGATAAAGCACACAGAAGCTGGTGGGAACATTGATTTATGTATTCAAACAAATTTCTAATTGTTAAAAAAGATGCTTACAGAGAAGGAAATTGGTGTAAATTAGCCAATGTATCAGTTTAGGCTTCAGATTAAGAAGACTTGTAAATATTTGGTTGCGTGTTCTTACTACAAAGCATAAATGTTGTGTAATTAACTGCTCACCCTTAAAAGTTATCTCTGCTTATTTAAAGTGAGTTATTGCCTTTCATTAACCCTGACTGTAGTCACAAAAATGTAAAATTAATGTAAATCTTATTTTTTGCATCTAGTGAGACAAAACAGCTTATCACCTCTGGTGCTTTAGTGACTTATTGGAACCTCAAATTATATTAACTGGGTTATAATCCCAGGAACTCTACATGAAGCTACACTGCTAACTGTATCAGACAGGCAAAGCAAAACTAAATTTTAAAACTTGCCAGCTGTGCCTACATCAGGCTTTCAAGGTCTGTTCAGATGAGCAGGTCTTGTGTTAGCAATCGTGCCGATTGTGATTTTGCTTCTCATTTTAACCTATGCTGTTTGACTTTTTTAGTAAATCTACCTGCTATTTACTAAACCTCTAGACTGAGCAAAAGTACGTGACAAAGTGAGACTTAAAATCAACATAAAGCTAACAGTTAGTAAGATGTAAATAAAATGTTACTAATCTTTCAAATATTTTCAACTGTCAAGTGTGAAATATTTAATGCTACTTGATAAATTTTATAAAGTTGATTTTATTCTGAAATTTGTTTTATAATTATGTTTAATAATAATGTATTCTACTTACGGATTTATTTTATTCTCAGGATGGTAGTACAAAAGTGAAGTTCAGGCATAATATCTTTAATTGAGTTTATTCAGTTCCCATTTGGCGATAGGTCCTTAATTTATTTCATCAATGGTCCTTGAAAGCTTTTAAGTAATTCAATTATTAAATTACTTAATTTACATGTGTGAAATGTGTACGAAATGTTATACTATGCTGTACGAACCCTGTTAACACATTGACTGCCATGAGGGTCGCTGGTGACCGGCACTCGACTTAGCTACAGCGCCGTGGGTGCCACCAGTGACCGGCGACGCTACCAATAGTAAAATACATAATTAGAGTAATGCTAGTGATTCAGAGGTCTGGATATTGGATATCTGGTTGCAGCCTTTGTACTGTAATTAGAACTTTTGACAAGTTAGTTTGAAGCTAAGTTTTTTTTGTTCTTAATGATATGTGCGTCCACCAGAGGCCGAGCGGTAAAGTCTCTGAACACTGGTAGTTTGGTCTGAGGTTCGAATCCCGTGAATGGGCTGGCTGCATGGGCATTTTCGTAGTTTTCCCCATGTGTAACGTGTATACGAGCCACTTTCCCTTAGAAAAACCTCCACAAAGGCATCCCTTTCCTCTTAGGCAGATGACCTTGAGGCTTTGCCATAATCACACACACACTTAATGATATGACTCCTTAAATTTTGAGATAAATATTTGACTTAGAGTAAATTTCAGATTTGGCTTCCACAAGATTAGAGAAGTGATTTTATTATTAAATGTGCTTTTATTGGCCAAGATGTTAACTACTTCTAAAGTAAGCAAAAATACTTGTCTTAGGCTGTTGGTAATAAAATGACTGATTTTAAGGATGATTGAAGAATAAATAGAATAAATTAATTCAGAATTTATTATAATGCATTCTTGATAAAGTGTGTGAAGCATATAATTTAAAAAGTGTTACCTGGATACTTGTATTTTAATAGCATTACTTATGTCATTTTTTGTGATTTAAATTATAGATTTGTGATTATTATTTATTTATAGGAACTTCTGGTGCTCCTATTGATATTGTTGCAAATTATTTTGAACTCCTGTCTAGACCTCAGTGGTGTGTATATCAGTATCATTGTGACTTTTCACCTGTGGTTGAAAGTACTCGTATGCGATGTGCTTTCATACGTGACCACAAAGAAAAAATAGGACCTGGTTTCATTTTTGATGGAATGTCAGACTTAAAAACGCTTAAGAAGTTAGATGAGGTAGGTTCCCAGTACATATCTTTCTCAATTTTCAGCTGAAATATTTATTAAAATGTCTGTATTTTACCATTAAATATGTCAAATTTTAATTTAATTGGAATTGAAGTAGATTAATAACTGTTTCCGAAAAGTGTTTAAATAAAATCTTTTTCTGCCCATTCCCAATCATAGTTAAATAATCTATCTGTACAAAAATTGTTTTACACAATAAAGACCTACCTAATTACTCCTTAAAATTTTCCATCATGTTCAGAGATATTTAGACTATACCAAACTAGCTATATTTTACAGAAATGTGCTGTTGTAGGAAAATTGGAAGGACTCGTTTCTAAGCTCATTATTTTTTTGGTGATTCTAAAATATTGCTCTTTGTGAAACAGTGGGCATAATTTAGCAGTCAGAAGTATAGGTGATGAGTGGAATCCTTTAATCCCGTATGTAGTAACAAATTTCTGTTCTGACAGAGCAGTAACAGATTTCTGTTTGGTAATTAGCTTAAGCCGTGGATTGAAGAGTATTTCTTGGGCCATGTAAGTCGTTTTTAATTAAGTATTCCGCCACTGAATGAAAGGCACTATACAGATACATATTAGTTGGGAAGTCATTATATCAAAAGCTTCCCAGAGAAAAGATAATGATCACTTTTCTCATGATGTTCACTTGCCATCATGTCCCCTGCATTCCCAATCTACAGTTTTAAAAGTATCTTAAGTTTCTCGTCATTGAACAGTCTTCCCGGGGACATGGCCATGAAGGGTATGGATGCTTATTCAAATCATTACTAGCATCACTAACCATTCAGATGGCTTGTGTCACCTCTCCTCCTATAGCATAAGCTGCCTTTTCGGATAGTAGGAAACGGGTCTACGTGTTTCATGCCCTCAGAACTAAGACTGTCAGTATAACACTAAACCAGTATATATAACACCAGGGAGTAACAGCCTGATTGGAAAATGCTTGTGACATCATGTGTCAGGTGTTAGTTGGTCTTTTCAAGAATAACTAATCATAGTTCAACAAATTCTGATCCTTATCTTTCCTATCAAGCACCCTGTTATGAAAGGCCTGTTTATCCTGCAGATCCTTTTCAGTTATATTATGGTGAAAAAAGGTAGCAAGTGCTTTTTGTGATTAACCTTTTCCCGGGGGGGGCTGGGACATAGTGTCCCGAAGTAAGTGTACAGCTACTGGGGGCTCGGGACAGTTTGTCGTTGGTGGCAGGGGTAGGAATCCTAGCGCTTGAGGCTTGATGACTATTTCATGACACCCCGTAGAGTGCGTTCTTCTGTGGCATTCCGCTAATGGATTGGGGAAAATTGTCCGTGTTTTGAATTCACATGTGCTGTTGGCAAATTTGGTATCTTCTAGGAAGTATTTTGTTAAGAGGAGAAAATAAAAAGAATAATTGATTACTTGGATTCACACGCGTTTGCCTTTTCAGGTTTTTTCCTGTGCAAATATGGCTTGAAGGTCAAATATTTAAATTTAAAAAAAAAAATTTTTTTTAAGTATGATATTTTTCAAAACAGCCATCTTTGTGTAGTGGAATATTGCAAAATTTACAGAGAAAGCTTTTTTTTAACAAATTTGTATTTTTTAACTATGCATTTTCTAGAAGATTTTAAAATTCAACTGCTACGCAAATATTTATAAATTTGTTTTCCGAAATTCAACAGTCTTCTGGAATGTCTAATCTGAGTATTCTTCATGTGGGTTCAGATTTAGTTTAACAATCTCTTATCCATAAAATTGTCAGAATGTGTAGGGAATTCTTGCATATAATATTTTTCCCAATTTGCAACTGTGTATACTTTATACGAATTGAACTTTATACATTATACGTTTATTCCATCCCACTCCTAAAAATGGAATAATACGAGGGTTGGAACTTTAATAGTGGCAACACAGCTGAAAAAAACGCTATGCAACAAAACCAAAGAATATCGTGTATACCACACATGAACTACATACCTACCTTACATCTCAGCAAAAATACTCGTCCTGCCTACGTCACGCGTATGCGAGTGACGCGAAGAACGAATCCTTGTATTAGCTTGCGGTCTAAAGTAAGTGTTGTCAGTATGTTTTCAAAACAAGAACAACGATGTTGATAAAAATTGAACGTGCCAGAGGTCGTACAGCACGACAGTGTCATCAAGGGCTTCATGAGGCTTGTGGGGAATCTGCATTGCCTTACAGAACCGTAGCAAGATGGGTGAAAGCATTCAATGAAGGACGACAAAACGTGGCAAACATGCTGCGGCCAGGTCGTCCGAGTGTCAGCGATGCAGACGTGCAAGCTGTTGCCGCACTAATGGACAGTGATCGCCGCTAAACGATTCGTCAGCTGGCCGGACAAACAGGATTAGCGCATACGACTGTGCTGCACATTCTGAAGGAACGCCTGTCTATCAGAAAAATTGCTTCACGGTGGGTTCTACATCAATTGACGGAAATGCAGAAATGGCTACGATACGATGCTGCACGAACCCACCTAGAGCGCTATGAGCGTGAAGGAGATGCTTTTTTACACCGCATCATTACACTGTATGAGACTTGGGCCGATCATACCAGCCAGAACTGAAACTCCAATCAAACGAATGGCGTCATCACGGGTCACCACGATGTTCGAAATTTCGTCAGAACTCCAGCAATGTGAAAGTTATGGTGATTCTCGTGTACGACTATGATGGTGTCATCCTAACGCATACCGTTCCCCCACAGCAGACCGTCACTGCGCAGTATTACTGCTCATTTTTGGAGCACAATCTCCTACCAGCTTTGATTCCTAAGATGAAGGAACCACTTCGTGGCACTCGCTTCCAAACTGTTCCTGAGATTCTTGGGGCAGTAGACTGGTCCATTAAAACTATCAACAAAATAGGTGCTGCTACAGGTATTCTGCGACTTCCACATCGTTGGAAATGGGTTGTACACAATGCTGGCGACTATATTGAAGGACTTTAAAACATGGTGACATGAATCACTTTTGTATTCCTTGTAAATAAATAGTTGCCACTATTAAAGTTCCGACCCTCGTACAATAGATATTACAGTACAAAGTCCCACTCCTAAAAATTGAATAATACAATAGATATTACAGTACAAAGTCCGAAATCTGGACGTCCATTACCTGAAATGATCTAAAATCGACTTCAAAACCACCAACGTTTTCTCGTAGGCTTTTAGGCATGCGCATTTGATTCCGCCCCTCCGCAGAATAAAAAAAACATCTGGGGAATCTCGATTCTTAATTTCACTTCACTAAGTAAAGTACCAGATTATTGAAAAAACAATTATTTTAGCATAAGTTTGTATGATCAGTAATTTGGCTCCATTGCTGTGTATTTGCTTGGCATACATCTCAAACCGAAACATTCCTCATAGATACATCGTTGATTTGATGCCAACCTGATAAATCATTATTTATTACTTTCCTTTCATCACTGCATGTTTATCAAAACATGACAACTTGAGTAGTGACTCGTGTAGCGATGCATAAACAATTTTTTTATGTAGGTAATCCTTATCCTTACTAATATTATAAATGCGAATGTGAATTTGTGTGTTTGTTACGCTTTCACGCCTTAATTACTTAACCGATCATTATGAAATTTTCAAGAAATATTTTTATAGAAAAGGTTATAGGCTGTAAAATGTCTTCGTACGACTTAAATTAGCCAGGATATTAATTAAAAACTATTTTCCATTACATTTTTCACCTATTTTGTTGTGTTTTTCCCTATTAAAGTGATTTGGCTATTTGCTAGTTTAGAATTTCACAAATATCTATATGGAATGGCAGTTAGTTTAATTTCGAGACACATATCTGCTGATTCCAAAAATTCGTCGGAATCCATCGATACCATTCTCATCTTCATACGACTTTAATCAGCTGAGATATTAATTGAAAACTCTGAAAGCGCTAATTTGAATTCGACCCAATAGCAACATTAAGGATTTTTTCTTTTTCTCGTGTGGGTCCAATAAATTGGTGATAAAAATTATAACTTTTGATCTAATTATCCAAATTTCTTGAAATTTAGAAACTTGTGTTGCTCTCTGAATGATAGGAACAATGGTGGTGAAACTGTTTTTGTCGCTTAATTATTTCCAGTTTCATCTCAGATGAAACAAAACTCCGCTTGCTATCGTTAACTCTTTGTTGACAGGCTGCAATTCAAAAGCGACAGTAACTCTTCACTTTTACTATTTGAAATTAACTTTTCACTTTTACTGCTTGAAATTAACTTTTCACTTTTACTACTTGAAATTAACTTTTTCTAACTTCTAATTAACTTTTCGACTTTTGTGATATGTTTTATTTCGTATTTTTTTAAAGATCTATTCATTCGTGTCATGTATTTCTGTTATTGTTGCTTGAAAAAATTGCATTTACATTTTATATTCTTTACATTTTACTGTGTGCGATAAATTTTGTTGTATCATTTTAAGGCGCTCGAATGTTCTTTATTTGAAATTTTACCCGGAGTGTATTTTTAAAATCCACATGGAGTTGAAACTTATTTAAGGGCATCAACACGAGCAAAGCCGCCAGTTAAGGTAATTGAATAATAAAAGAGCATGATAACTTTTTATTTTGACATTACGCTTGCCAATTATTATAGATTTAAGTTAAATGCGCTAAAAATTGTTGACGAGGAAAACTTTACAAAAAATTTCTTTCCGTATGCAAAAAATATTATTTGTTGATGATACTCTTAGACCCAAAGATTATATTTAGGGCTATTTGAATTAAGAATAACTCATTTATTCATATTAACCCAGAACCAGCGCCAGGGCTCGTATCACCGCACCGGGTCGCAGAATTTAAGACCCACAGAGTTAGGCGGTAAGATATGTAGTGCCGGCCCTCAATAAGGTATTATATAAGTATATGTGGGAGTTTATTTATTCAGAACTGTGATGTGCAAGAAATAGACGTAAGTATAATAAATAACTAAACTAATACAATTCAGGATTAATTGTCTCGGTGCGCG